ACACGTGGCAAAGTGTGATGGCGGGCCTAGAATGTTTTAAACAGGGCTATATTTGGCGTGTCGGGGATGGCTCACAAATTAATATTTGGAATGATCATTGGATTCCCACTAGCCACAATATGAAGGTGCTCACACCAAGAGGTAAATATTATGGTATCCACGGTTGACGAGCTAATTAGTCCAATTGATGGATGATGGGATATACAACTGATTCGTTCTTTATTTTGGCCGGTTGATGTTCATCGTATCCTCCAAATCCTGATCTATAATGGGCGTGAGGATGTGGTAGCCTAGCATCATAATCGGAATGGGTTGTTTTCGGTTAAATCGGCCTACCATTGCCAGTGGAACCAGAAGTACGGTGATAGAAATATTGTTGTTGTTTCAGGTGGCACAAGCTCGAGCTCAGTATGGAAAGAGCTTTGGAAATTGTCAATACCGAGCAAGATCAAAATATTTGCTTAGCGAGTGCTTCATGGATGCATTCCATGTTTGGTGATCCTGGCGAACAAGCATATATCCAACACTGGAAATTGTCCAATGTGTCAGACGGTGCAGAGGATATAAAACATGCTTTGTTCTCATGTAACCGAGCGAGGGAAGTATGGGGCGCCCTTGGTATATGGGATGTGATTGAAAAATTGCTATCAATTGATAGATCAGGTTCAGTGCTGATCCAAGAGATTATTGGCAGGCGAGGTTTGGCCACGGGATAATCAAATGTTGGTGTTGCAGAACTTATACTTACAGGATGTTGGTACATTTGGTGGCAGCGAAGACAAGTCGTTCATGGAGAGGAAATTCAGAACCTGCCAAGGTCGGCAGTTTCAATTGCTACTATCTCTACAAACTATGCTCTAGCATCAAATAAATTAGCGGTGATGAACAACAGCGGGAAGAAACCTGCAGAAGGTTTTATAATGATCAATGTTGATGCTTCCTATGATGCAGCAGTGGGGGTAGGAAGCATGGGTGCAGTAATCAGAGATGCAGAGGTTATTGCTGCGGCACATAGCTACATCCCGCATGTGGTGGATGCAGCTATGGCAGAAGCGTTTGCCCTGAGGGATGGTCTCTTGCTGGCTCAACAGATTGGTTGCAACCAAGTGGAAATACAAGTTGATTGCATGGAAGTCGTGACCACGATGAATGAAGGAGGTTTCTCAGCCACGACGGCAGCCCCTATCTATGATGAATGTTGCCAACACTGGATGGATTTTGCTGCTATATCTATTAGTCATTGTAATAGGGATTGCAATTTAGTAGCTCATGAATTAGCAAGGCAAGCTTTGTTAGATAAGAGTTCTTTTGTATGGGTAGATGACCCCCCCCTAATTCTATCCTGCAATTGCTTGTAAACGATGTAACCATTTTATCGAATCAATAAAGTTTGCCTTATTATTCAAAAAAAACTAATTCTTTATTACACTAGTATTTATTATGTGCCTTAGAATTTATTTATTTAATATTAGACAAATCCAATTAAATCACACTGTGCAATAAATTATACGTCTCCTTGCATACACGGGTATGGTGGCTAGTTCTTTACAAAAAAGACAAGGTTGAATTCTCTTGTGCTCCCTTCGTTCCAAATTATAAGTCGTTTTGATTTTTTTATATAAATTTTATTATGCATATAGCAAAATTAAATATAGCAAATCTATATAAAAAGACAAAACGATTTGTAATTTGGCAAGGCACCGCATACCTTTCGGCCTCCTATCCACCGTTCAAAGAGAATCCATCGGCTTAAACAAAAATTCCATCTCTCCTCATGGGTCGGGCCACAAGGACACAACTCTCCACACTGTACGCCGCCGCCCTGCAGTGCCGCACGCCGCGTGCCACCGCTGCTCCTCCTGCGTTGGCGCTGCACGCCGCTGCTGCTCCTCCCACTCCCCACGCAGTGCCTCGCACCCCCGCAGCCCTCCCGTTGCTCACGCCGTCGCGGCTCGGGATGCCGCCGCAAGCTCGCCCGTCACGCACCACTGCAGCCCTTCTACGCCTCCCCGGAGGGGCCGGAAATCACGTCGGTCAGGAGAAGATGGAGCTCGCGCCGATCAGGAAAGATGGAGCTCGGGCCCAGACTCCATGGATTAACTCTGCAGCACTACACCGACGTGGAGGTCCTTGCTGCCATGGAGATGGACTGGGCAGGCATGCTGCCACCATGTTTTCTAATGAACCCATGGTTAATGTAATTAGCTTTTGGATAGAAACCACTTCTTGTAAACATGGCAGATTCTTCTGGTCTATATATAATGAATCAAGAGATTTTTATTCTGAATTTGTGAAGTACTGAAATCTGGAAATAAAATGCAATATTTTGTTTTTACTGATGTCTAGATGGTGTGTGTTTAGATACAGTGACACTTATTCAGTAAATACACTGAGTACATGTTTAGCCCCAAATTTTCACTGATGGCAAAATATCAGACTTGCACACAAACAAAACCATTTTCACAAGCACATAATTATTAGACAGATCAAGCACACAGGAGATTTGTGTGCTCCACTTCCAAAGCACAAGTCCACAAGTTCAAAATCATTCAAAGCACCTTCAGGTTGTGTACCCTAGCAATTTGTGCTATTACTGAACCAGCACATGTGTTTCTACTGAAATTATATAGGCCATTTCAGATATACAGTTAGGCCATAAAAGACTATAATTAAACCCCAAAAGACTATAATTAGCCCTGTCCAAAATGCTATCTAACTAGCCTATACACACTAGAACTGAAGGTTTTCTTCGGCACAAGTTGAAGCTGTTATGAGCTGAGTAAAACTGTCAAGGACATTGTAATCTTGAGACTCCTGAACTTCATCTCTGTTGCTGCCATCATTTTCCAATTCAACTTGGGGCTGTACAACATCATTTTTGTTTTGTGGCTGCTAATAAAAATTCAACTAATTAGTTTCGATTGGAATGACAACAGCATACATACATCATGTAGCTTGCAAGTTTGCAACATACCTTTGTTCCTTTTTTTCTTTGGTTTAGCAGATTTTGGTGGTATGGCAGATTTTGATGGTATGTCAGATTTCGCTTGCTTCGCTTCCCCTTGTGTCATAACTTATCGATCCAAGTCCTCTTTTTCTTCGAATTTTTTGATTGGACTTCCTTTTTCTTCAGCTTTGCAGCACTAAGCAAATCATCTCTTTGGTTCATATTTGGGTCAACATTTTCTTGTTCATTTGTTGGTTTTCATTCATAACACAGCTGGATATATTAAGTTTATCCTCAACTTGTGTGCAAAGGCAATCAAGAGCATTGTCGAGCAGCCAGCAACATTCTAGAGAGTTGGCGGCTTTATATGCCAAATTGTGGTATTTATGAGACAGAAACTTCAATCGAAGTTGAGCTTCTAGTTTTGGGTTTTCTATCACATTTCTTCCTTGCCTATCTTGAACACTTCTAGTGCAAGTGAAGGAGGTGATTGTGTTCAAGGACAACATCAGTGACTTCATAATTTCCTTTTCCTCGGTCCAATGTAATTGTCATTCATGCTTTGCAATCGGTTCTTGTTTCAGCTCTAAAACACTTTGTCACGTGCCCTGTTTCCACTTTCCTTCGATGGCCTTCGTTGGCACAAACAAATTTGCATGAAGTCACCTTGCCATCAAATTTGCTTAAATTTCTATATCTTTTTCTCACATCAAACCCTGTACGACCCCCATATGCCACCCAAAACTGCCAAGTCTCATCTGGATTTCGAAACCTCAAACCAACTTCAGGTGTTCTCTTGTCAAGTTCTGCCATTGCCTTTCAATATCTAACCCAATTTTCCTTGTCAAATTATGTCACAAAGAACAAAATTTACAGCAAACAATTACTAGCACATGATGGCAGATTTACAATTTTTATCAAGCTAAACATAGAGACTGGTACATATTTTGGTAAAGAATAAATAGCAGCATTAGATTCAACACAATTTGACAGGAAGCTAAGAAGAGGGGTTGTTCTGATGCCAGGCGGTGAAGCAACTCATGTGGATGGTGCTCCTCGCTAATGTCCCTGTAGCTGCAACACTCCTGGAAGGCGTCCTTACGGAGGACGCTGGTTTGCTCGGTGCTCCTCGATAGTGTCTCGGGGGCAGCGCTGCTGGACGGTGTCTTGTCGTCAGACTGTCGGCCCTGTGCTGCTGGGCTACCGCGTAGCACGGCTTGGCTCTTTCGGACGGAGGTTGCAGGTCAGCTTGACTCCTCTAGGCAGTGGGCGGCGTAGCTTGTGGGAGACCGGCGCGGCAGCTGGTGGGCGGCGGCGCAGCGCACGGGAGACAGGCGCGGCGGCTGGGTAGCCGCTCCCGCCCGTTTCCACGGGAAAAGCTAAAGATGTGCTGCAAAATCGTGAGAGCCATCCGATTGGATTCAGATAGTAGACAGAGGCCCGAAACGTACGCCGTGACTTGCTAGAGGAAAGACATCGAATCTGAGTCCAAGTTTTATAGTAGAGCAGTAACCAATGGCTTTAATTTCCAATCGCTTTAATTTCGCACGGTGTAAAATTTAATCGCAGGCCAAAGTCCACAGAAATGCTATACAACATATATGTATTTTAGAAGAAAAAAAACACATGAAATTTTTTTATCTCTCTCTTTCTCACCAGTGACTACCGGCGCTGGTGCCGACGACCGGCAAGCTCTCCCTATAGCGGCGGATCTATGATTTATTCTTCTATAAAAAAAATTATGATCTGTGATCCTTGGAGTCTGAAGTCTGGAGGTAGAAAAAAAAGTAAAGGCTGTTGATCTTAATTCTACGGCGTAAAAAAAATCACGTGTCACGTGGTTGTGCAGTAGACCGAGTCAAACGGTCCTAGATTTTAGAAAATCTGACCATAAAACCCTCCGCGCCCACCCCGCCGCAACCCACACGCTGCTCTCTCTCCCCCGAGGTAATCGACGAAGGCCACCACCACCTCCACACCACTTCGCCTCGAGAAGGTTCCACCAGGCCTACTCGACTAGGGTTTGGTCTCGGGGATTTTGTGGGCGATCGCAATGGAGGGAGGCGGCGCGGAACAAGCACCCGAGGCGGCGGCGGAGGTGAAAAATCCGAGGTGCTTCATGGACGTCACCATCGGCGGCGAGATGGAGGGGAGGATCGTTGTAGAGCTCTACGCGTCCGTGGTACCGCGGACGGCGGAGAACTTCCGCGCGCTCTGCACCGGGGAGAAGGGCATCGGCGCCGCCAGCGGCAAGCCGCTTCACTTTAAGGTTCGTATGGATCGATTGGATCGTCGCGAGGACTTTACCTCTGCGCCCTTGCGTGATTTGTGTCCTTTGCTGCTATTTGTCCTGGGGTTTGTATCTCTTCTAATAACTATTCTAATTTTTTGTGCTTTTGCGTTTCTCGATTTGGAAATACAAAGCGTTATCAATGTGCCGCTGTAACGGAATAAAAGGATTGAGTATCGGTGCTAACTTGTTCTAATTTGTATTCAGTAATTAGAACCGAAGAAGCGCTGTTTCCTGTGCGGTCGATTGATTATTTAGGGTTTTGATGCAGATTTCGTAACATGGAAATAGTTGCCATTTGTTTTTGATTTATACTAGTTCATTTATTTACTCCTCTGTACAAGTCCCTAAGGGATTTGTTAGCAGTTTTGCTTCAGGTGCGATTGTTTAGATTCAGGTATCATTAATTCGATCCTATAACTTTTTTTTTGGCATCGTAAATATCGTATCCTTTTGTCATATAACTGGATATTCCACATTCGTCAGCATTTGCCTTGGTGTTCTAGGCGTTCTTTTTGTTTTTCTTGTTTTTTCCCTCAGCAGTACTGGTGCTGTGATGTCAAATCAGTCTCCTTTGATGTGCAGTGAACTCTATGCACTGCTGCCTCCAGTTCTGTTACTGTTATAAGGGCCCCTCCCTTTTGCACCTCATGTACCACCCGTGCTAGCTTTTGTGCCCTTCTGCTATAACTTGCCACGTTAACTTCTCCTATAGTGTTGCTCACTTTATGTGCGAAGTAGCGTTGCCGTATTGTACGATCAGATATACAGTGTACCTTATTGTGATCTGGTCACATTGAGGTTCTTATGCTCTCAAAGACGTGCCCAACTGTTTGCAATGGAAAATGAGTGCGAGAAGTGGTACTTTTGTTTCAGAATAGTCTTTTTGCTGGCTAGCCTCGCCTGAAGCACTGCAAATTGAAGTTATCTTTACATAGAACACGCACGAAATACCTACGATAACAGCTTCGCCACAGACTGACAGGCCAGTTTAAGGTTCATGGCTGGTAGTGAGAATTTGGCAGGATTTTATATGTTTATCGTTCAGAGAATCTTTTTGAAGGGACAGCCATCACTGTATCTAGCTTTACTTTGCCGGTTATCTTGATTTGTGTCTGGTCATTGTTTTGGCATTAGTCAAGGACAAGTTCTAGTGGGTACCAGAGTGAAATCCTGCATTGAACAGGGATATATGAGGAGTGTTGAGGTGTGGTGGTCATAGCTAACCTTCTCTGATGATCTGTTGGACAAATCTGTAATTCTTTTTTTCGAAAGCGTGCATTTGCACGTGCTTCATTAAGGGAAGTGGGAACGTTTACATGTCCCGTGGCCTATGGCGGCGAGATGCCTCAGCAAGCGAACGGGACGGACACAGACAGGGAGCACCGGCTTGAACTGTGGCGCTAGGAAGTACAGTGAATAGTATTGGTGTGGGATCTGTATTTGCTGATTTCCCCTTTTCTACAGTTTTTCCATCGTCATTGAGCAATAGTGCCTCTTGTAATCACTATTATTTGTCTGAGACCCCACTGTCCTCGCTTCAGAAGTGAAATTTGTAGTTTGTTATCTGCCTACTGCAAGCTAGTAAATGAGAGTGATGGGTGTTTTCTGTTATTTTCCTCCTTTCTCTGTTATTTTGCACGTTTTTTGTCTGCTGTCTTGGTAGAACTGCATTTGTAGCACTAGAATTCGCTGCCATATCTTGTCAGTAATCCACATCTTTGGTACTTATTACTTTTTTCAGGGCTCATGCTTCCACCGTGTTATTAAAGGGTTTATGGTTCAAGGTGGAGACATAACTGCTGGAGATGGAACGGGGGGAGAGTCAATTTATGGGTCCAAATTTGAGGACGAGAATTTTGTTTTAAAGCATGAGAGGAAAGGAATGCTTTCAATGGCTAATTCTGGTCCCAACACAAATGGTTCTCAGTTTTTCATCACTACCACGCGGACACCTCATTTAGATGGGAAACATGTTGTTTTTGGTAGAGTGATAAAAGGGATGGGGGTAGTTCGCTCTATTGAGCATGTCACTGTTGGAGAAGCTGACTACCCCACTCTTGATGTCAAAATTGTTGATTGTGGGGAACTTCCTGAAGGTGCTGATGATGGAGTTGTAAACTTTTTCAAAGATGGTGACACGTATCCGGATTGGCCCAATGATCTTGAAGAGAAGCCTGCTGAGGTTTCATGGTGGATGGATGCTGTGGAGTCTGCTAAAGCTTATGGGAATGGCAATTTCAAGGTAATATCCTTTGTCTCACATTTTATTGTATACTGGTGACCTCACTAGTTTCAGTTAAACCAAATAGGCTTTATGGTTGAATCAGTTCAGAATGGAATAAGCAAATTACATAAAACCCAACAAGATATCAGATGTGTTTCCGGGTAGAGACTAGAGAGTAAAAACATATATCTTATTCTTCACTTGTCAGCAAAGGGGACTTAGTCCTTTATTTTCAACCTTTTATCATTCTGTTATTAGTTCTCCCTTCTTTGTCCGATATGTAGTATTTGTCTCTGGGATTGGAGATGTTATCCTCAGGCTATTCCAATCCATGCGCACCTAAATCTTGTCCCAGGCGATAGGAAATACCAGTTATGAAGCTCTATTCAGTGTTTCGTTCTGTAGATGGCTAAGGTTATATTTCCCTATCTCGAGCTGACGGTTATGCCTTTTTTTCTTACAGAAACAGGACTACAAAGCAGCTCTCAGAAAGTACAGGAAAGCTCTGCGCTACTTGGATGTTTGCTGGGAGAAAGAAGAGATAGATGAAGGTAATTATACAATTTCTAATACACTGTTCAGCTTTTATTATTTCTGTCATATGATACACGTTGACCATGAAGACATGTCAACTCACTGGCATTGTAAACTATGCAGATAAGAGCACAGCACTGCGGAAGACCAAGTCAATAATACTCTCTAATAGCTCCGTAAGTTCGCTTGTCTAGTCTAATCACTCCTTACGTGGGTGAATATCTGCAATTGTTAGATTAGATGTAAGAAAACTGTGGTGTTAGTACTATCTCGCTAGCTTTGTCATGGTAGTTCATAGCATCCAAGCACTTGGAATGATGCATGGCCTGAGTAACTTGATGGCTACAAGGTTTGGTTGTCAGATTACTTGTTTCCTATCCTTAGGCCTTCTGCTCGTCTTTACAATCCTGTACACATTCAACTTTAAAGTAGATGAGCATTTAAATTTCAGTTCAGGATTTGGACTATTTCTAGAGTTTAATCATCGTTGATATTCATTGCAGTTAAACCCTACCACCAATCTCATGTAGTCGCTTGTTTATGATTCAGCATTCCATTAGTCCAGAAATAATTACTCTGAATCTGTTGTTTGAATTTTTGTTATCTTCTTTCTTTTCCGCTAGTGTATCTGAACCATTCTAAAATTATACAGTTATAATTGATTTACTTATTTCTGTGCACCATCTGAGCACCATTCAATAGATTGATCTTTGACACGAGGATATATAACACTACTTTGGATTGAACAATACTCCTATAATGATACTATGCCATCAGCGTATACTTGTATTATTACTTGTTTCCTTAAAATGACATATGACTTTTTCAGGCATGCAAATTAAAATTAGGAGATTCAAAGGGTGCTTTATTAGACGCGGATTTTGCACTGCGTGAAACGGAGGGAAATGCTAAAGCTTTTTTCCGACAAGGACAGGTTGGCAACTTTTGTCATATAATTTGTTTTGCAGATGACTACATGCTGTTTGTGACATTCTAGCTTAGTTCAAAATACTTGTTGTCTTTTAATGATTGTTCTTTGCAGACCCTGAGTCATTCTCTTGCATAAAATACTGCTTCATGTTTGACTTTAGTGCTCGTCTCATTTAAAGTGTGCGATATTACTTTCCTTTACTACCGAACACTTGCTGAAATGATTTCACTGTATGAAATACAAGGTGACTTTACACATAGTTCTAGCAACAGGGATTTGAGCGAACTGATCAGCCCATCAGTTCACTGGCTGTGCCAGCAAATCATCAGTCCGACCTCCAGCTTTTTTAAATAGTGACATTAACATAAATGCAAAACCTGATATCTTATATATATGTAAATAGACTTAAGTTTATAACTGTTTTCCTGTCATACAAGACAAAAGATTTTCATGCTTACTCAAGTTTTTGACAAGAGGGTACCACAAAAGCTGAAAGGCAAGTTTTATAGAACGGCGATTAGACCCGCTATGTTGTATGGAGCAGAATGTTGGCCTACAAAAAGACGACATGTCCAACAATTGAGTGTTGCGGAAATGCGTATGTTGTATTGGATTTGTGGTCACACAAGGATGGATCGAGTTCGGAACGATGATATACGTGACCGTCTAGGGGTAGCACCAATTGAAGAAAAGCTTGTCCAACATCGGTTGAGGTGGTTTGGCCATATCCAAAGGAGACCTTTAGAAGCACCAGTGCGTTGTGGAGTTCTAAGTCGAGATATCAATGTGAGAAGAGGTAGAGGAAGACCGAAGCTGACATGGGAGGAGGCAATTAAAAGAGATTTAAAGGGTTGGGATATACCTAGAGATCTTTGTTTGGATAGGAGTGCTTGGAAAACAGCTATTGACGTGTCTGAACCGTGACTAGGGGCTCATGTTGGGTTTCAACTCTAGTCTATCCCAACTTGTTTGGGACTAAAAGGCTTTGTTGTTGTTGTTGTTGTTACTCAAGTTTTTGACTTATGAGGACAGAATAAATAGACACTCTGGTACACAGAAAGTTTCCCAGTTCATTTGGAAACTGACCTGTTTCATGTAATTTTTTTGGTTCCAATCAGTGTCCTCACCTGTCAGTTGTTATCCACTAACATGATGGATGTGAGCCTTCCCTTAACAATAGGCTGGTAGTTAACTATGATACCAAAGGACTAGAAAACCTGCAGGGCAAGGTGTTCTCAGCCATGAAATGCTGCTATAACGCCAAGGTTGTTGTGCAGCCACCTTTCCTATCGTACCATTGCCGTAATGTTGCCCAGTTATCTCCATTAACCCCCTGTAACATAAATCTTCCAGCTTCACTAATTTGGTTGCGGTCATCGTGTTCAGTTTTGTGGTGCCATGGCTGGGCTCCGGACAACATTAGTTCACTTTATCTGAGGTTATGTAGAGTCTCTGGTCAGAGGATGATTAGAAATAGATAAAAGAAAAAAAAGAAAGAGCATTAGAGATGAGGGTGGCAGGGGATCAGGCTCCATGCTGCCACCTCCATCTTGAGCATGGGTGACAGGCTTTTGGGCTGGTCTGCACCACAATGCGCTAGGCCATCTGCCCATTCACCTCTTGTTCCAGTTTTTGACCACTTTGCCTGAATTTCTGATTTAGTTGGCTGAGCATTCTTTGAAACAAACACAATCACCACAGTAGCTACTTCTGTCTTGCTGCTCAACTGCTTGTCTGATCCCGTGTTTGAAGCTATGATTGACATGACTGAGGATTATATTGGTAAAATAAAATTCTCAACGTGGAGTCTAGTAGTCTACTGTCATCCCCACAGCAAAAAAACGGTGCAGCTTTACTAGCACTTTGAACTTTTACAGCCAATAAACTGTTTACATTAGGCCCTTCTTTTGCTGTTCTGGTTGACTTGAGAAAATGCTCCCGTAGGAAAAGCTTAGGAAAAACAGTTCCCATTAGATATCAGTGATGATATCTCAAACTCTCAAGATGCTGTTGAGCTGAAAATATATTTCTTACCAAAGCACTTAATGCCAATAATATCTTATTGTTGTTTACCGTTGGCATCTGTAAATTCCTTATCCTTTAAGTTCGATTTTCAGGCACACATTGCACTTAATGACATTGATGCAGCGGTGGAGAGCTTCAAACATGCATTGGAGTTGGAGCCAAATGATGGTTTGTTCTCTTTAGTCTCCATTGCAATTCATAGATGCGACTGATGATCTGATGGGATTTTCTTTGACACCATTAGCTGGAATCAAAAGAGAGCTGGCTGCTGCAAAGAATAAGGTCAGTCTGATAACCTTTCGAGCGATTACATTGTGAGCTCATATGATTGTTACTGAAACTTTGGAAGCTGCCACAGATTGCTGACAGAAGAGATCAGGAGCGGAAGGCATTTGCTAGGATGTTCCAACCTTCTGGAAAATCTGACAAGAGCAACGAAGTAATTTTCCAGTACTGATTCACTTGCTCTACAGGTGGGGTAATGGAGCTAATGGTTGCTCTAATATTTTGCAGAAGAATAATTGATCTACAGTTTCTTTCCCCCATCTGAAACTTTGGTTAGCTTAAATCTGGGACACATATTGGAACAGGTCTGATTCAGCATTGGAGTTAACATTGACGTTTCGTCTCTAATTAATTTAACTGCTTATTATCGTTGACACACTGACATTAAGACTTGCTATCTGTTGCAGGAGTACCATGGGAGTCTGCGCTGCAAAAAATACAGATTACCGATCTTAGATAGAAGGAAACATAGTGGGGGGAAAAGGAAGCTTTTGTTTTCTTTTACTACAGGTGTATCAATTCGTGCGTTTGTCCCGGTGTTAGTTTCTTCAGGAAATGGACATTGAACTTAACAGTGCAATTTTCAGACTTTGCAGCGAGTCATGCCATCAGACTACTCCATTTTGTGTAGACTCGGCCCTCGGGACGTTGTGTCCAACCTGACGATTCACATCTTTTGTGCGTGGTTCGCCCGTTTCACTTTCGTGGTGTTTTCTTGTAGCCTTTTGTCTGCCATGTCTGCTTGTTGCCAGACGCTGAATCAGGCACGGCGCTTTTGGGTATTCCTGTCCTGACCACATTTTTGGTTTTATGTGGTTCGTGCTTCTGGGTCCATGCCCTCTGCTTTGCCGTGCTGAACTTTTGCCTTTCGCGTGCTCGTAACGCGTGCGTCAGACGGGCAAAGAAATATCCCCGATCTGTTTTTCTTGGTTTAGCTTCGTTTCAAATTTTTGTTAGCCAATAGGTTTTTTAAGAAGAGTGCGAACTGAGCTAACTCATTTAGTTGTTTTTTTATATGGAACCTGTCCGTCTTAATAATTCTAGACTTAGCATGGGTTAGTGAAATGTACCGTGGGTCTCTAAACTTTTCTTGTATCTCATCTGTGTTAGTTCACTTTTACAGTGATCATTTAGGCCCCTTCAACTTTTTAGGTGGTTCATTCGAAGTTTAAATTCATGTATATGATTGGACTTTTAGTGAACTTAAGATGGAACTAATTAAAAAGTTGAAGGACTTAGATGATCACTTTGAGAATTTATGGATCCAGATAAGAATGTTAGAAAAGTTAAGGACCTAGATGACTAACTTTGAGAGTTTATGAACTCAGATGCAAATGTTGGGAAAGTTCAAGGACCTCCATGTATAAATAGGGGTGCGTGATTGAGAGCGTTTGTGTTGAGAAAATGAAGATAAAAACAAACAAGCACAAAATTAAGGATTGATTAGTGCTATTTAGGCCAAGTTACTTATGTCAATCAATATGGGTTTAGTTTACGCAATGATTGTATAATCTATATAGACGTGGGCTCCAGCTCCCTTGCATCTTTTCTCCCTTGCATCTTTGTGTGCAAGAAAGACACCCCTACTGATCAGTCAGTCTATTATACCTTCTTGCATACACTCTATACGTACTTGCATACACCTAGATGGCTCCATTCAAAGCTCGCAGTATCAGTGATGGTTTGGTTGATTGCTGCGACTTGCGAGTAGCTCCAACGCTTGGACTGTATGTGATCGGAGAAAGTATATCACTGTAGCAGAATTCCAGAATCCTACGAATAGCTTGCGAATTGGTAACAATGCATGGTTACTTGGTTAGTCAATATTTCTATTTGACCGTATCATCTCACATTTTAATGTACTTTGTACTCCCTCTTTGTTGCAGCATTTGATGATTACTTGTAATTGATGAAATGATTTTAGGAGACTATAATGGGTGTCCTTATGCACTAAATTGTTTTTGCATATTATATATATATAGAGTATATTCAGTAGCCAGCTACAAAATAAGTTATTCCGTAGCCACCTCCATTTACGATAATTTTATATACTAATTTACGATAATGTCAATACATATTTACGATAGTTGGGTTACTATAACACATGAAGATATTTACCATAACATTACAGTAAACCACTTAGTATGGAGTTACTATAATCTCGTAAATTAACATAGTAATTATCGTAACTCAAAGTGGCTACAGAATAAGTTATTTTATAGCCAGCTACAAGGTAGTAGTATATATATATATATATATATATATAAAGCTAGACTCCAAAATAGTCAGTTGCTATTTCATTGGTTATCCAGAAAAGTCAAACGATTATCGTTTCTATTGTCCTGACAAACAAACGAAGTTTGTAGAAACAAGACATGCTGTCTTTTTGAGGATGATATGATCAGGGAGAGCATGGTAGCGCGAGAAATTAGTTTTGAAGAGAAACGACTATACGTGCCCACTCCTATGGTTCAAGAGCCATTCTTCACGCTACCTGTTATTGCTGTACCAACAGTGCAAGACACTGTAGTAACAGCACATGTTGTTAGTTTTCCTGTGGCAACCATGAATAAACATGAGGAACTTGTCCTTTAGAATCCCTTAGAACCCGTTGTCACACATGAGGGAGAGCAACAACAGTCTCATATAGAACAAGCGTCATCTAACGAGGCCCCTAAAAGGTCTCAAAGAGTCAGGAGATCAGCCATTTCTGATGACTACGAAGTTTATGGATGTGAGGAATTTCAAATGGAGGGTGATCCCACCTCATTTGAAGAAGCCATGAGAAGCAATCACTCATCCAAGTGGCTTGAAACCATGGAAGATGAAATGAAATCAATGAAAACCAACGGTGTTTGGAACTTAGAAACAATTTCTAAAGGAGCTAAGACAGTAGTCTGTAAATGGGTCTACAAAACTAAATATGACTCCAAAGGGAATATAGAAAGGTTTAAAGCGTGACTTATGGCTAAAGGTTTCACGTAAAGAGAAGGCATAGATTACAATGAGACATTTTCTCCAGTCTCATGTAAAGATTCTTTTAGAATCATAATGGCGATTGTAGCATATTACGATTTAGAATTACAACAGATGGATGTAAAGACGGCATTCCTAAATGAGGATCTAGAGGAAAATGTTTACATGACACAATCGAAAGGTTTTATTGTGGAAGGAAAAGAACGTATGGGATGCCGCCTAAAGAAATCCATTTATGGATTAAAACAAGCTTCAAGACAGTGGTATTTGAAGTTTGATAGTACAATAAGAAAGTTTGGGTTTCAAGAAAATGTAGAGGACAATTGCGTTTATGCAAAGTTCAAGAATGGGAAATACATTTTCCTAGTCTTGTATGTGGATGACATCTTGCTCGCTAGCAATTATGTTAATCTACTACTAGAAACAAAGAAGTTCTTGTCCTTGAAGTTTGATATGAAGGATCTCGGTGAAGCTTCGTTCATCCTAGGAATAGAGATTCACCGAGATAGAGAAAAGGAGGTCTTAAGATTATCACAAAAAGCATACTTAGAAAAGATTCTAAAAAAATACAGTATGTAAAATTGTAAGTCTTCACCTGCTCCCATAGTCAAGGGCGACAGATATGGGGAATTTCAATGTCCCAGGAACCAATATGAGATCGATCAAATGAAAGCGGTTCCATATAGTTCAGCTGTCAGAAGTTTACAGTATGCTCAAGTGTGTACTCGCCCTAACTTAGCATTTGTTACCGGGTTACTTGGCAGATATCAGAGTAATCCAGGAATAGAACACTGAAAATTAGTAAAGAAAATTTTGCGTTACCTACAAGGTACGAAGGGTCTCATGCTAACGTACAGAAGATCTGATTCCGTGCACATAGAGGGGTATACAGATTCTGATTATGCGGGAGATGACAGAAAATCCACGTCAGGATACATATTCACTCTCGCAGGAGGAGCTATATCGTGGAAAAGCTCAAAGCAAACCGTCACTACATCGTCCACAATGTATGCCGAGTTTGTAGCATGTTATGAGGCCACAGAGCACGTGAATTGGCCGAAGAAATTCATGCCCGGGTTGAAAGTGGTAGAAGACATACACAAACCACTCAAGTTATACTGCGATAATAATCTAGCAGTATGTTATGCTCACAACAACAAGTCAAGTGGTGCTACCAAACACATTGACATAAAGTATTATGTTGTGAAAGACAGCGCTCGGGATCATATAATTAGTCTTGAGCATGTAAGAACAGAAAAGATGCTCGTGGATCCGCTTACAAAAGGCTTACCACCCAGCGTGTTCAGAGAACACTTAACCGGCATGGGTTTAAGGGAAAGCCTATGATTCCTAGACATTAAGGGCCTAGTTGAGAATTTGATTCAAAACAGAGAGGTGCATTGTAGTTGTTTAATCTAATGGCAACTGATTGTGACGAAGAGACACGCTCTATGCACTGATTTATGATGGAATGGGAACAAGATAAAGTAAGTAAGTTAATTTTAAGTAATAAGATGAGATCAAGAGGGAGATTGTTAGTGGTAATCTCTCTAGCTCAGCCCAACGACTGAGTTGGGCCTTGACCTCGTGCCCTGATCGGGGACGCCCAACTCTTCATGGTTGGTGGACCCCGTCACACTGCGTTATAAAGAGAGGTGGGGGCCGGTGGCTCTCTTCACGAGGTTAACCGAGCTACAGTTCCCACCGACAAAACTCTAACACCGATCTAGAGAGGGTGCGCAGCCAGTGACGGGAAGCCACCACCGTCTTCTCCGCTAGGACACTACGCCATTGATGGACCGCACCACCAGACTCCACAGCAACACCAACATTGCCATGGACGGCTCCAGCTCTTCCGCCAAGCCCTCCAACGGTCGGTGATGTCTCACCTCTCATCCTCTCCTCTCTGTTACTCTATTTCTTCATGCACTAGGATGAACTATATCTTTTATCACAAGTAGAAGAGGTTGTACCCGCTAGATCCATACCTAGCTGATCCTACAGTACACTACGCCAGATTTTCACATCATTGCCGGCATCATCACTGTCGGATTTGTGAGAACCGGCAGTGATGTACCTTCACTGCCGGTTATGAGCTTGAAAATAAAAAATGATTGGGGCTGGGCTAAAACCGGCAGTGAAGGACCACATCACTGCCGTTTTGTGGCTTGAACCGGTAGTGTTTTGGCGGGCACT